CCCCCCATTACTCCCCCCCCCCCCCCCCCCCCCCCCCCCCCCTTGGGGATGGGATGTGCCCCCCCCCCCCCCCCCCCAAGCTCTTAGTTTAGGTTTCGGGATACTATAACTGGGAGGTAGAGGGTGGGCTTGTGGGGGAGAGATATATATATTGGAATTAGTTAGATGTGGGGTAGGTGAGAGTAACCTTAAGTGTTTGTATCATTTGATGGTGTCGCCCCCCCCCCCCCAATAACCCCCCCCCCCCCCCCCCCCCCCCCCCCCCCCCTCAGGGGTGGACGTTTGATTTGAAGGTTGGGTTGGGGGGGAAGTTACAATGTGTCTTATGGTGTATAGGCTTATGGGTCCAACCCTATATCACACACAACACCCACAATGTGCGGGGGTTGTACGGGGCGTTCTTACTGTGCTCGATACTGCACAACGTAGGGCAACGAAGAGCGCCGGAGGTTTGACCAGCCTCCCCCACCCATTCAAGCGGAAGACCCTGAAATATACAGTGGACGTTATCGGCGTCTAAGGGGCGATCTCATAATGGTGTACCAGATCCTGAGAAACTCCAACCACCCATGCCATTCCCTTCTGACACTCAGTCGAAAAACTCGCTAAGTGGTCACCAGTTCAAGTTAGTCACGCAGTACAGCCACCTGAACTGTCGGTGAAACTGTTTCTTCCGTCGAGTGGCACAGCCTTGTAACGCCCTCTTGGAGCACGTAATTAATGCACCCATCCTATCCCCTTTAAAAAAACGCATTGACGATACTGTCACATTTACATTACGTGCTATAGCTCATGACCACACGATGCTGGCACCAGTGCACAACATACGGGCGATGGTGCCATAACCCTACTCCAGAATGAGTCATTCCAAACGCCTTGCACGAAATTGGATAAATGCTACTACTAAAGAAACTAGATGTATGTATCCTGTCGACCCAAGATAGTTGCATACGAGTAAGCAATATCCTTTCAATCTTCTTTTAATTTCTTCGCCTACTATGTGATCAATAGTCACTCCACTTATAGATTTGTGCGCGTATATTCTTAGTTCAAACTGCCTTAATGCGACAGTGCAGTTACATCTGTAAGCGCCCGTACTAACGACTCCATTATCCCTTTGCTATTATCTTTTGGCACGCTAAACACCCTACGGGACATGTCAGACACCTGCTATTTTACCCGTTATAAATCATTGTTCAAATCATTGTTTAAGTTTCATCGCGAAAACCAGCTTTAGAGGTAATAGCTTGAAACTGAGTCAACAGCACAGTCGGGTCTTCATTAAGGCTAGACGAACCTGAGAGCATGGCGACTCAGTGATTTCGCCATAAGTAGCCATTGAACGTCTTGGTGCCTACGCTGTTTTTGTGCTCAACGACAGCCTGAACTTTAGGAATTCTATCTGACCGGACGCATCATTAACACCATTTGCCAGCGGACCAGTTTAGTCTTTAACACATTTGTGAAGAAGGCTAAGTATATTATCACAAATGTATTGGAACTATTATCTATGCTAGTGAAGGACATGTTCAAAATGTCCGCCGGCATTCTGCTTACAGTGCAGACACCGCTTGATGTAATTGGCATGCACTTTCTCCAGTGTATCCCTCGTGATCGCGCTCCATTCGTTCATAATATTTATATTTAGTGATTCAATGTACGCGGCCTTGTTTCGTACACTCTCCGCTTCAAACAGCTCCATAGCAAAAGGTCCACAGGTTTCAAATCTGGTGAGCGAGCAGGCCAATCCACTGGTCCACCGCGTCCGATTCAATGGTGGCCAAATTTGTCGGTGAGGTAAGCACGCACCGGTTTAGCAGAATGTGCAGATGCACCATCCTGCTGCCACCAAATCGTACTGCATGCCCATTCAGTCTCCAACTGGGGAAGCACAAATGTCTGCAGCATTTCCAAATACTACGATGCTAGGAAAAGCTAAGGCTTTATTACTTCAAAACAACAACCAACCAGTCACATTCCCGGAAAAGAAATATGGGCCCAAGGTTTTCTGGATTGTTAGTCCGGCCTAAAGATTCAGTTTCACACTGTGGTTAATAAGTGATTCGGTAAATTTTCGTTAGTCGCTAGTAGCCCATTAGTAATGTTTCATTGTTCCATGCAGATGGAACCATGCTTCACCTGTAAAGATAACAGAACCAATATCCCCGTCATCCAGAATCCAGCGGCAAAATTCATGCCGCTTCTCCGGATCGCATGGGTTCAAAACCTGCACTTGAAGTGCACGAAATCTCCGAAATTCTCATTTCAGTATTATCAGGTGTACCGCATATCAGGTCGCGTTACAGTGTTGTGCGATCCGACGAATGCGGAGATCTGAACCTTTTGACACTTCACTGACTAAAGCGCAAGCTATACAGTCGTCCGTGGTCAGGCGAGGCGGTCCGGCACTCACATGTCACACACACCCAGTTTGCTCTAACTTCTTCACTAATTTAAGAACGTACCGGGCGGTGACAGGAAGCATTCCTGCGTTCATTGCATTGTAATTCATTTAAGCTGATGCGGCCGTTAAACTGCATTCACCGTACATCCGAATAATCAGCGCGCTGAGTAACAGGAACCTTACGCGATCCCGACTGCCTTATCTGCTCGTGCTCCATTACCTGCGATCAAACAACATTGACAAAAGTTGCAATGTCTAACCTCGTCCTCAGCTGAGCGGCCATCACGTGCGCACATGCACGTTGCAATTTCGGTCGCCTAAGCCGACTTCGCCGTGTAGCCAGCGAGACACACAGAGATGACCATCGATCGCTCCAACGCCTACGGTTGCTCATAACCTTCAATCAGCGCGAGGTTAGCTGACAGTCGGAAACACGTTGGGGCTCGCTCGCTGATCAACAGCTTCAAGTCAGTGTGTCTTTAGTGTTTACGTTTTTTTAATTTAGCCCTGCAATAAATCACACGTGTGCCGAGAATTCCATACGTCCGCACCACTAAGGTGAGAGAGAAATTCATGTCATTGCACGTGCAGTAGCATTTCGCGAATTTCGCCAAACATTGGATGGCTATTGGATGTTGGGAACAACAACCGTAAATGACCGGCCTTTATCATAAGCGAGCCACGGTAGGTAAATGAACGCTAATCGGCCATCTTCCGTCAGACTAACTGTACTATACCAACTTATTTTTTCCAAACCTTGCTGAAACCATATCTTTTCGATGGGTTCTAAGTATGTTTTCGAAGAATTTGAGAAGCTCGACTAGCATTTGAAATACCCCAATCCCCATTTGGATGTAGCTGAGTAACTTAATATATACTGGCTCAGCAAACCATGCTTTTGGCGTCGTTCCTTAAAAACACTGCAGTAACCTAATTGTATAGTTAGGAATTCTTCACAAACAGGATCAGTCAGGCAGCCGTCACAAACCCGGAAAAGCAGGGTATGCACGTTTTACCTTTCGGGAATCCTCAGCAGTGCGCATTCCATCGGACAATGATAGGGTTTAAAACCGCAACTCTACTGTTGCCAGTCCGTGGTTTAGACCACGGAACTACGAAAATGTCAAGGACAATGGTGAATAAGTTACTAGATGTGAGATCGCCCCGCTCAATATCCACCGACCCAAAAGTTAATGCCGTGCAGAGGACAAGGTAATATGCTCCCCAAGCGACGAGCTTACCAAACTTAAGCCGCCAATTAACTTACAGCATTATAATCAGTTTGGTATGCGTACTGGTTGCAGAAGGGTAGTATGGGGAGTTGAATGGTATAATTAGGAATTCGTCACATCTAGAATCAATCAGACAGCCGTTACACACCAAGAAAAGCATTGCACGCGCGTTTCATCCATGCGACGAGCGTGGAGAGGAAGCTACCCGCTTCTCTGCACGGTAGTAAAGTGTGAGTCAGTGGATAGTGGGCGGCGCTATCTCACATCCTGTAACTCATTCACCATGGTCGTTGCCATCAAACCTAGTTCAGTGGTCTCAACCACGGACTGGCAACAGTCGAGTTGTGATCAGGTGGAATGCGCAATTCTGACGATCCCTGAAGGGAGGAAACGAGAGTACAGTGCTTTTCAATATATGTGACGGCCATCTGAGTGGGCCTAGATGTGACGAATTCCTACTTACCCTATACAAATCCCCTACTACTCTTCTGTATTTAGGTACTAATGGTTAACACATTATTTGAGACCTAAATATAAGCAAAGAAAATTCCATTCTTTTTGTATTTGTATCCTGGCTGACTGCATAGGATGATTTGAAGTAGTACTCTTATTTTGGGTAGCGTCCAAGCGTTAAGATGCTGTCTGGGTGCGTGCGTTGCTAGACCGCTTACACCGCTGGTCATTTTGTGACTTCTCTTTGGCAACTACGATGATTATTCCATCCTTCTATTTTTAAGATATGATCCACATTTTTGCATGCCCATTTTGACGATTCTTCTTAAGGAACGCTGTTCAATGAAATAGCCTTGTGGTTCTTGTTTCTTTTTGTGGCGGGCTTAATTTGGGCCATTGCATATTCATTAAACGTAATGTATATTCTATATATCCGTGTTAGATATCATCTGAAGAGGTATATTGACATTTTTGTCTAATTTGATTTTAATGTAAGATGGCTTATATTACTTCCTAACTGCAAAAATTAAATCGAAATACCACGCAGGCTTGGCGATCTGTTGATTATGATTTCCGACCTTCAATCCAGTTTAAACTAGTTATGAATAAATGTATTGCTAAAACTCTGTTCGCTTCGGTGAACGTAACAGACGCATTTTGTGTATTTTATTGCGCTTAATGCTCAAGAATTCGAGTCTTTTCTATTGGCAACACAAGCCCACCTTTTTTCGCTTTTAGTTACTATTTATGAAATTTAGCAATTAAGATGGTATCATTTTGGGGTATCCGCAGCTGTTACTGCAAAGTGCTGAAGATGCACCAACCTGGGTACATAAAGCTGACTCTGATTTACTTGAATTGTTTAATCACAACATTAAGTAACCCTTGGTTTTAGATAACTTGGAGCTAAGGCGTTTGCAGCTGGACAGGTGCTTCAGCACAACCTGCTGCATCCGCGATGGAGACGGCTTAGCATCACGACGGTGCGCGTTAAATTATCTACGTCGGTTGGTCAGAATATTAATTGCTTTAACTGTGGCAGCAGTCCCAAAGACCCGCTTCCCATGTGGGTAGTGATAACAGCGGAACGTAAGCTCACCAATTAGCGGATAGTTAGGATACAGTTTTTAGGAGAACATCTATTAGACATTCATTTATTGTGACCGAGCTTGATAGCT